CAAGCCCCTTCATGTATTCTCCCCAGCTGCCCCTCACATGTGGGAGCAGCTCCCTGTAAACGTGCCTGTTTCAAACTCTGCTTTGTTGTGATGCCTACAAAGACTTAACAATTAAGCTGCTGGTCTGCTGAGTGTACTGCTTCCACGTTGACCCATATGGTCTCGTTTCCTTTTACTCGCCCATTAGTCTGTCTGTATCCACCAGTCATTTAGTCTTATGCCTAGATTGGAAGCTCTTTGAGGCAGGGACCAACTTTTTGTTCAACGTACAGCACCCTGCACAATGGAGTCAGCATTCGTTCCGAAAAGCCTGAACTGTCCAACATCCAGCCCCCACCCTCTCACACACAAAATATTAGCTCCGTCCCAAAGTAGACGAATCCAGGTCTATCTCCAAGTAAGTGTACGGCCTTCTTTCGATACAGATTTAGAACATGGAACTTAGTAAGCATTTGTATTGTTGTAACACATCGTGAGAACCATGGCGCCACGATACAAGCAGATGGTCCCAGCCTTGAACATCTTACAACCTTAATGCTGGGTTAACTGTTTCAGGGCTATTAATCCTTTATTCTGAACCCTACTGCAAAGCAGCAGCTATAACAGACTAGCACTATTAGAACTAGATGTATTTAGATCTACATTCCCTTTTAATTTTGTCCCAAATGCTTGTCTAGTTATGTAGTATGAAAGAGAAAAGTGGAAGTTACCATGCCATTGTTATTACCACACAGTAAGAAGCTTCTTGGTCTTGTGGCTCAGAGTGTTGAAACACTACTTTGAGGACACCAAGTGAAGGCAGAATTCACCAAAGACATAATAATTACCCTCAATTATGAGCACAAGGGCCCCACTGTAATATAAAGTTAGAGATACAAGAGTCGACTGGAAGATTCCAGGTTACCAAACAAAAAAAAAATGTACAAGGATTTCGCCTCACGTAAAACCTGCCTAATTCAGACATTTATTGAAAGAGATTCTATAGATTTTGGTGAACCCCTTATTAAAAGCCTCCTTGTTAAAGGCTTAAAAGCCATGAAACAAAGATTTGTAATTATGGTGCTGGGCTTGCAGTGTCACTATAATTACAGGCTGCCAGTATATCCATTGGCAGCTTTTGAGGAGGTAATAACTTGACCACGTTGATCCCTATTGTAACAAAGCTTGGCGCAACGCATCAGCCCAGGTGCAAGGTTTGTTTTCCAAAATTGGATTTCAATTGATCCAGCTGCCTTTTATAAACCTAGCAAGTAATAAAGATGGAATCGGTGGGCTTCCAATTCCCCCTACCACACACCTCTTTGCAAGCTGTTAACCCAGAACGTGGCTCAAACCCGTGTGATAATGAAAGACCAAGCCTCAGATGCCACATCACAAGGCCCCCGATTCTGATCTCAAACATATGGGCACATATTGTCACCAACCTGGGGAAATTTTAAATAAGTGAAAAGATTCAACTGCAGGAGCAAGACAGTGGAAAACCCCATGTGACCTTCTTCTAACAGAAAAAATTAAATTATTGGTCTGAGATCGTTGTGATTAAGAGGCTAAAGCATCCAAAAAACCGTAGGGAAAACAGCCCAGCCTGTGTCAAACAGAACACTGCTTTTTGGAAAAGAGCTGATGAAGGCACGACTTCTACTCAAGTCCAGGCATTACAGAGGAGGTGGGGAGTGGAACTGCAGGACAGAGTTTTAGGCACACTCAGATACTCTACATATCAAGAACCACCTAATACAGTATCTGCTTTAACCCAAATGGGGCCCCACTTGTGCTGCGGGCTTTACAGACATATTAAGAAGCCATCCTTGCCCAAAAGGCCTTACGCAGTCTAAAACAAGACTAAGGGTGGGAGGGGAACAGAGCCACAGAAAGGTAAAATGACAAAGTGACTTGTCCAAGGTCACCCGACGGGTCAGTGGCAGAGCAAGAACTAGAACCCAGGTCTCCTGACTCCCAGTTCAGTGTCTTATCCACTGGACCATGCTGCTTCTCAGTGTGCCTCACTGATCTTTATTGAAACTACCCATCATCCAATACCATGAGGCACTGCTGGAGACATATTTCATAGTAGCAGCCGTGTTCGTCTGTATCCGCAAAAAGAACAGGAGTACTTGTGGCACCTTAGAGACTAACAAATTTATTTGAGCACAAGCTTGTGCTCAAATAAATTTAAAAGTTAGTCTAAGGTGCCACAATCCTGTTCTTTTTGCTGGAGACAGATTCTAGACATACCCCTTTAGTTAAATTTGTAGTACATTATAAAGAAATCCTACAAGTAGCAAGAGTCACATTAGTTACCAGCCCTTCACCACCATCCTTTAAAGCTAGGACAAGCTATAGAAAAGGCTGGGATTAAACACAGAGAAAACTTAGATCACTCTAGCAAGACAAAACAGCCCCTTGTAAGTCCTAAATTTTGTCCTAAGAAGTGACTTTGTTCCCCAGGTCACAGGGGTTAGGCACTGTAGAAGCAGAAATTATTAAAAGCTACTATTCATCTCCAGAGTCAGACAGGTGTAAGTCAAGTCTTTAAAAACCCAAAGCTTTAATGGAATCTGAAGTCCACTTGTGCAGTAGCTACCTTCTGTCATCACATTACCTTGACACCATCACCTCAGCCTCTGCCCTACCTCGCCACCCTATCAAGCCCACTTGTTGCATCTGGTCTTCGAATGTGAACTCTCTGTTTTAATCTTCCTAGATCCTGCAGCCAGATCCATGAAGGGTGGGTCCCATGCAAAAGCCTAATGACTGCAACACAGGTTTATAGTTTCCAGGTCTGTGTGTGTACCGCACTAGCAGCCCCAATTTAAACTGAGCCCACTGGACATTATTGCCATAGTAACAGGAAAAGATAGCCTTAAAGCTGAGTCTGCGTTTTCAAAGATTAACTTGAGTACATTAATAGAGTCATGTTGAACACTATTAAAAAGAACAGGTTCCAGTTTCTAGGGGCCTTGTACTAAGAATTGCTCTCAGGATACCTTGTCAGCTACTTTGACATAAGACTTCCCTCCACTCCCTTCAGACACTTGTTCTCCTGTAGATCCTTGTACAATTTTTAAAAGTGTCTTGCAGGTAATGATTAAGGAATTAAAAGACGCTGACATCTACCCAAACTAATCCGCAAGGTAAGTGCCAGTCAGTAACACAACAACCCAAGCTGTTCGGTTAAAGTATCACACAGAGCTTGACTTCAGATCTTGAGCTACCAATACAAATAAAACACAGATGCACAAACACAATTAACTCTAGCAATCCAGGTTATTTTTAGACCATTGAAATAAGACACTGACCAAATCCAGCCTGACTACAGAAGACAGATGCACTTTCTTTTTCACATGATCAATTTTCAGCAGTTTCTAAAGTCCACCTCTGCTCCATTTTTCACTGGTTTGGAAAACGATCACTGAACTGGGGATCATCACTTCAAATTACATAGTCCATGCAGTACCTAATGCAGATCCAGTGTGTGCAGGGTATACATGAAAATGTGTTTAATGTACAATCAGTAATATCAAGCGGGGTGCTGGCTCCTACCACTACAAAGAGTAAAGATATTCCTCCTTGGAGCATAAGGAATTAAGACGGATACTAGAATAACCCTCCATGCCAAATGGCCTACTCTGCTCTTATCACGCATCTCTAGCTTCTTGCATCATGAAGGATCCCAGCAGGCATTACAAGTTACTAGCCCCAATTCGGATCTCCTTGACTTGAAAGGGAGATGGCTTAACCACCAGACAAACAGGAATTACCCCTCTTCTCTCTCTCTGGGGTAACATACAGCACACCAGGAGAACAATGGGGGTGGAGAGGGAAAGGGATCTGGGGACAAAGGCAAGACGGTGGTACCTGGGACCTTATGGGGTCGTTAAGGAACATACAAAGTGGGCAAGACCTCGGCTTCTGCTGCAGGAGCTGGGGAGGGAGGCAGTTAAGGAAAAGTTGTTTATTGGTAACAAACAGCCTCCCCCCATCCTAAGCTGCAGTCTCAGCACCTCACATCCTGCAAGCCACAGTTCCAAGGGTCCCTTCAGCAGGCACAGGGACCACAGCAAGTGGGGCCAACGTCCTCAGCCCCGTTCCCAAGGTTCGGGAGGGTGGGAGGGACTGGGGCAGGCCCAGCGCGAGCCCCACATTAAGTCACAGAGAATTCCCACCCCGTCCTCCAACCACCGGGGTGCAGGACAGCTCCGTGTGAGCAGAATCCCGTATCTCCCGCCACATACACCGGAGTCCTGCTACCTGGGCAGGAGGGGACAGCCCAGGGGAGTTCATGGCTCCTGGGCAGGATGGGGGGCAGGGCCCCAGCCACTGGGGCAGGGGACAAATGGGGGGAGCATCCCTGTGTCCCAGGATTGGGGGGCACCCAGCCACCTAGGGGGAGGGGACATGCCCAGGGAGTGCTCCTGCCCCCCCCCCCGGATGACAGGCCAGAGCCCCCGCCCCTCAGCCAGCCCCGAACGACCACGCTCCACTGCTATTCACAGAGCGATCTACGCCAACTGCGTCCACGGAGACCCCCCCTGGGAAAGACCCCGGTTTAAGCCACTGGCGTAAAGGACCGCGGGGTCCACACAAGACTCCCAGGCCAAGCGCGCTCTACCCAAGCCATGGAGACGCGGCCCGGCTAACGTCGCCGGGGGAAACACACCGGGGCGCCCTACGCCAACGGCGCCCGGCTCCGCTCACGCAATCGGCGTCCAGCCCGCCGAGGCGCTAGTCGCCAAGGGGGGGGGGGGGGCGCGCGAGGCGGTCTCGCGCCCAGCGGAGAACGTTACGCGCTTAGCGCGAGGCGGCCGCCGGAGGGATTCACAGACCCCAGCGGCGCCAGTAGCGTAGCCTCCCGGCCATTCGGATCCAGCCGAGTTACGCAAACGGCGTCCACGCGCCCGAAGCATTCCCCAACGGGGCTCCGGCGAACGACGTCGCCTCCCGGCCATCCCGTGCGACGGGGAGGCGGGGGCGAGTGACGCAGGCGGCGTAGGACTCACCGGCCCACGAAGTTCTCGAGCACGGAGCTCTTGCCGGCGCTCTGGCCGCCCACCACGGCGATCTGCGGCAGGTCCAGGTGGCAGCTCTGCCCGATGGAGCTGAACGCGTCCTGCAGCTTGTTCACCAGCGGGATCAGGTCCTCCATCCCCCGGTTCCCCATGGCGGCCGCGGGGCCCGCGCTCCCCGCGTCTCGGGCGGCGGCTCCTCAAACGGTTCTCGGCGGCGGCGGCCAAACTTCCCCTCAGTGTCTCCTCATCCGGCTCCGGCGCCGCCCCCGGCTCTTCACTCCGCCCAGGCCCGTCAGCGGCCAATCCTATTGGTCGGCACGGCTGTCACTCTGTGGGTCTAACCAATAGAGAGGCCATACCACCCGTAATTCAATCGGAGTGGGCGGTGTTTAGAGGCCCTCGCCTCCTTTCCGCGTTGCTAGTGGTCGCTTGTGCTGTCGCTCTTTTCTCCCAACCAATAGAGTTCATTCGTGACCTGTCTAGGAAGGCGGTACTTTTAGATCCCGCCCAATAGCTTTTTTCTGGTTTCTCGTTGGAGGAGAAGCCTGTCGCTCTATCTAAGAGACACGAACTCTCAAAAAAATTCACTCCGCCCTGTTTCCATTGGTCAGAATTTCTGCCACTCTGCCACACCATCCAATTCATTGGGAGAGGCGGGCTTCTCGAGGAAAGGTTGGGTACTATTTGTAGAGAAGCCATATCTGATTCGTGATCAGAATGTCAATCATGGTGTCCCTCTTTATGATTGGTCTCTTTGTTCCTCTTCCCTCCCCACCCGACGAGGGAGGTATTAGAGGCGATCGAGTACCGTATTGCCTCAGATAGAACGCGCACCCCATTTAGTACCTCATTTCTCCTTATAGAAGCCCACACATATATTAGTGTATGTCTCCTTATGGAAGACACCTTTATTTTTTTGTTACCGTATATCTCCCTATAAAAGGAAATAAGGACAATCCAAGGAATTACAGACCAGTCATCTTAACTTCTGTACCGGGAAAGATAATGAAGCAAATAATTAAGCAATCAATTTGCAAACACCTAGAATATGATAAGGTGATAAATAACAGTCAGCGTGGATTTGTCAAGAACAAATTGTGTCAAACCAACGTGATAGCTTTCTTTGACAGGGTAACAAGCCTTGTAGATGGGGGGAAGCGGTAGACGTGGTATATCTTGACTTTAGTAAGGCTTTTGCTACTGTCTCGCATGACCTTCTGATAAACAAACTAGGGAAATACAACCTAGATGGAGCTACTATAAATAGCTTAAGGTGCATAACTGGTTGGAAAATTGTTCCCAGAGAGTAGTTATCAGTGGTTCACAGTCATGCTGGAAGGGCATAACGAGTGGGGTCCTGCAGGGATCGGTTCTGGGTCCAGTTCTGGTCAATATCTTCACCAATGATTTAGATAATGGCATAGAAAGTACACTTATAAAGTTTGTGGACAATACCAAGCTGGGAGGGGTTGCAAGTGCTTTGGAGGATAGGATTAAAATTCAAAATGATCTGGACAAACTGGAAAAATGGTCTGAAGTAAATAGGATGAAATTCAATAAGGACAAATGCAAAGTACTCCACTTAGGAAGGAACAATCAGTTGCACACATACAAAATGGGAAATGACTGCCTAGGAAGGAGTACTGCGGAAAGGGATCTGGGTGTCACAGTGGATCACGAGCTAAACAGGGTAATGCTCTTGCAAAAAAAGCAAACATAATTCTGGGATGTATTAGCAGGAGTGTTGTAAGGAAGACACAAGAAGTAATTCTACCGCTCTACTCCGTGCTGATTAGGCCTCAACTGGAGTATTGTGTCCAGTTCTGAGCGCCACATTTCAGGAAAGATGTGGACAAATTGGAGAGAGTCCAGAGAAGCAGGGCCGGCGCAACCCATTAGGCGACCTAGGCGGTCACCTAGTGCGCTACAATTTGGGGGGCGGCGACCGCGGCAGTATTTCAACGGCGGGACCTTCCGCTGCCACTGTGGGGGGGCGGCATTTCGGGGCGGGACCTTCCGCCGCCTAGGGCAGCGCTCCTGCAGAGAAGAGCAACAAAAATGATTAAAGGTGTAGAAAACATGAGCTATGAGGGAAGATTGAAAAAATTGGGTTTGTTTAGTCTGGAGCAGAGAAGACAGGGGATATGAGAACAGTTTTCAAGTACATAAAAGGTTGTTACAAGGAGGAAGGTGAAAAACTGTTCTCCTTAACCTCTGATAGGACAAGAAGCAATGGGCTTAAATTGCAGCAAGGGAGGTTTAAGTTGGACATTAGGAAAAACTTCCTAACTGTCAGGGTAGTGAAGCACTGGAATAAATTGCCTAGGGAGGTTGTGGAATCTCCATCATTGGGGATTTTTAAGAGCAGGATGGACAAACACCTGTCAGGGATGGTCTAGATAATACTTAGCTCTGCCTTGAGTGCAGGGAACTGGACTGGATGGACTCTCAAGGTCCCTTCCAGTTCTGTGATTATTTCTCCCTATATAAGCTCACAATTTTGATGCCACTTCTCCATAGAGAAGCCCACCATGATGACACCGTATTTCTCCTTAGAGAAACCACCCCCTGTTGTGGTACGATAGCTCTCCATAGAGAAGCTGCCCTCCCATATATCATATTGCCCCGTATAGAAGCCCACCATTAAGCTAATGTATTTCCCTGTATAGAATCTCCCCAACGCATGGTTCAGCAGTGTCACACTTAGAGAGCCCTACTCAAAATATTTACCAAAAGCTTGTCTCTTTCACCACTAGAAGTTGGTTCAATAAAAGATCCCTCACCCACCTTGTCTCTAATGGGCAACCAGTAGCACTCTAAGTCAAACACTAATGAAGAGCCAGTGGGGACTTCAGAAAGAAGCTAATGAGAAAAACTGCAGGTCAGGGGAACCCTAGCTTGATGCGCTCGTCAAGGTTTATTTGACTATAGGTGGGGGACAAAGATGGCACCCAGTCATCCTCCAGAGGAACCAGACAGCAGGTTTTCTTCATGAACAAAGGGTCCTCAACCAGATTGGATTGAAAACAGAGGTGAGAACTTTGGGCGAGATGAGCTTCTTTCACGAGGAGGTTAACCTGCTAGTTAAGTGCGGTCTCTAGAGGGGGGTTATTGTTTTAGATGTAACCAAGGTTTCCAATATCCTCATTCACCTACTGCTCTTTGATGATCAAGTTATCCTTGTTTTCACTATACATGTATCTAAGTGCTGGGGTGTTAAGCAAAGTGGTGATGCTGCATGGAATCAGACAAGCTGCTGTGTACTATTCCTTTGGGAACAGCAGGCCTGGTCATTGGGACGGGGGTCTAGTAGAACAGGGCTGGACATGACAGGGGACGAACTCCAAGGACACAGTGGCAGGGGTGAAGCGGCTGCTAACCTGTCCATAGAAAGCAAGGCCTGCAAAGCCATGCTTGGGTTGCCAGAGGCTGGTGGTTTGACGGAGCTGATCCACAGACAGACTTCCGCATGCTAGCAGGCGATGGGGTGATGCCCCACAGTTCAGGGGTAGCCCCTGGGGAGCATCACAGTTACATTGAAATAGATTTGCTCACATCCTGGCGTAAGTTGCATTCACTTAGTCCAGTCACTCTCATTTGGCTCCCTCTAGTGGTGTAAGTGCCATTAGCCGGGGAAGCTAATTACTAGCCTGCTGGTACCTGTGAAACATCCCTTAACGAACCAGAAGCTGAGTGGAAGCCTATTTTACATGCACCACTCAAGGTTCTATTGGCAGGCGAAGGAGGGAAGAGAGCTGTTGTATGGAATAGGAATAGAACAGTCTTAATGGTTTATTTTAACAAGCCAAAGTGATTTGATTTAAACATTCCAGTGCAGGGGTGGGAACCCTCCCTCCCCCTCCCCCCCATGGTTCAGACACAGCCTAGCGCTCAGGACACCTGGATCCAATTCCCAGCTCCACCACTAGCTCCCTGTGCCTCGGTTTCCCCATCTGTACAATGGGAAGAATCTCCCATCCTGCACCACTTGTCTCTCTAGACTGAGGTTCTTCAGGACAGTGCCCAGCACAGTGTCCCCCCCCCCCCCCCAATCTCTGTTGGGGTCCATCAGTGCTACTGTAACGGAGTATTCAAGGCACAGCGCCGGCCTTGTCATCTATAGAGGGCCTGGCCCCCCCGCTTGCCAGCAGCAGGCTGAGTTATAGCAGTTCCCTGGAACAAGGACAAGCCCCCCGGAGCCTTCACAGTGCAGAGAGTCTTTTATTTAGGATTCCTTTGGTTACATACATTAACTGTAGGGGGGAGCAGGGCTGGGTGCAGCCAGGGCCTGTGTGCCTGGAGGACTCATGGCCCCTGCTGGGTTTGTAAAACAGTTGGCTCCCAAGTACAATTTCCCCCCCCACATTCCCCTTGGAGACACCAGCAATTCCCAGAGGGCACAAGTCCTGCCCAGCAGGAGCAGACTCATGTCCCCCTCTACCACCACCCCCTGCCCCATCAGTCATTCTTAGCAGGCCCCTTTTCCACCCCGTGTCTGTTGCTGCTTCCTGTCAGACTCCGGCTGCACCCGGTGCCCATGGCTGCGGCACACGGCTTCACCTGCCTTGGCCTTGCTGCCAGTGACCTTGGCTGGGGTAACCCTGGGTTGTGCAGCCGGACTTCTTGCACCCCGAGGAGAGGACGACACAGGGGCTCGGACCCCAGGACTCTGCATCCCTGTCACAAGCTGACTGAGCCCCATGGGGAAGTGGCCAGCACACAGCGCTTCTGTGCTCCTCCTGGGGCTCCTGGAAGAGAAAGAAATGTCAGCCTGCCCTCCCCACAGCCTAAGGGACACAGCTTCCAGAACAGACACCACCCTCTACCGGGTGGGTCCAGAACTGCTCTGCTGTGTAACAGGCCCTATAGCACCAACAGCTAATGGAGATTCTCCTCACGGAGTTCTGCATGGTCACAGCATGCAGCCTAGGGGCAGCTGAGTGATCATGAGTTTCCCTAGATTGTCAGCTCCTTGTAACAAGGACTATTTGTACAGCGCCTAGCACAGAGGTGGGCAAACTGAGCTCTCAGCCAGGGAGGCTAACCCCTGACCCCACCCCTGTTGTCCCCCCTCCCCCACAGCCATGCTGCCACACAGGGAGCGCTCTGGCCCGCCGCTCCTGCCAGGCTTTCCAATAAGCCAGTCCTGCTGCTCTGAGCGTCATGGTAAGGGGGTGGGGAGCGGTGGGGTTGGATAAGGGGTAGGGGGTCTTGGGGGGCAGTCAGGG